AACATGAATATAATATAAAAGCTAAAAGGCTGCAGTACAACGATTTTCATCCGTCCTCATTTGGTGAGATTGAACAAACGAATCTCTTCTTCATTGACTTTCATTCGAAATGAAGTTCCCCCTAACAATGTTATCTCAGGAGATTCATCAAAACCAAGTTTCTCTTGGTATCTAAAAAATGTCTCTTATGCCACCCTTTTCGCGCACTCTCGGACCCCTTTTCTCCTCCCATTTCATCCAATCCTCCGACTGGCATGTTCCCTTCGCCATGCACCAACATGTGCGAGTGCCTGTTGGTGTCCACTGGCGTCATACTCCTCGTGTCGGGTCACTCCGCCAGACCCAATTCTGACTTGACGTGTTGCCTGCACGAGCCGACTCGCGCTGCTTCGGTGTCGCCACTTCCTCCGCCGTCGTCAAGGCGCCGAGAACGATACCGACCGTCCTTCCTTCCTCTCATCCTCCAGACCCCATCCAACTCTGCATCGGCCCGCCTCTTCCTTCTGGGCGGCCTCCACTCTACTCCACTCTGTGCTACTTCACTCGAGTCTACTCCTCGCCCACCGCAAACTGGTTGAGTTCGAGTCCCCCAGTCTCGCCCAAAATCACCACCGACGAAGCCCCCGCCCTCCTCCCGAGGCTCGGCCAGTTCTCGTCGGTCTGGATGGACGCCAATCAAGCGTGCCCTTTTTGTTGCCTCTTCATGGCTCTCGCTTAGTTCCCCTCTACTGGCCTCTCAGTTTGTATGTGTGTGATAATGATGATGGGAAAGGGGAGGGACGGAGTCTCTACATTTAGGCATAAAGCCTCTTGCCGTGAAGGCCACATTGCGCAACAGAGATCTTTTCCATTGTCCGCCCCGGAGGCGGTTGTGTTCGAGACTAGAAGAGGTCGTTATTGCCAGTCGGCCTGCCCACTCAGTACAGCTGCCACTTCCCTTTTGACAGGTGCCTCAGACTTTAGGTTAACCTCATCTCCATGACTCCATCTTCCTTCCCCTCCTCTTGCCAATTGTTGTCCCCCTTGCCAGCATTTTCATCATCATCATCAGCAGCAGCAGCAGCAGCAGCGTCAGCAACCTTGAAAATAACAACAGAAGCAGTAGAAACAGCAATAAACTCATGAAATTACTTGTTGGAATTTAGTTGATCTACCATTCTTTTTATTTTGACTTAATTTTTGCTATCCTTTGGTAGAATAAGAACCCAAATCACATTTAGTCCCCTAACAGGGTGCAAGCAAGGGGGTTATTGAATTCCATACAATGAAACACATAAAAAGCCTTACGATGCCAGTGAGTTTCGCGTTCTCCTTTTGGCTGGGCTGCAGTTTGGACCTCGTAGTTTGGACCCTCTTTCGAGATCAAAAAACACAAATTTTTGCGGGTTATGGAGACTCACGCCAAAAGGGTAAGATTAGGGAGACTATCGAAATTAACAAAACAACCAACGTCGTGAATAGGAAGAAGGAGTGTAGAAAAGTGAGTAGGAACTAAATGTGGCTGTTGAATAGGCTTAAGAAGAGAGGGGGCAGGAAGAGTCACTGAACAAGAGGAGGCTGCATTTGCCCTCGAGTCTAACTGGGACTATCACACTTGCCATGACACCAACATTGCATGTAAGTAGATTCGAGACTACCAGTAAATCAGTAGTATGAGATGTATTCACCCAATTTCGTTTAAGGTGATGAAGGACTGCTAGTAGAATTTCGCCACAATTAAATGAGTAGACCTGACGTTTCCACGGAATTTCACAGAGCCTTGCTTTCCCCAAAGTTGTTCTA